GGCTTGATACAAGTCTGAACGACTCTCATGTCTGGAGGCCGGAGACTACTGCGGCTAAACTTAGTGAGTTCGGTGTCAATTTTCTCCTATACTACTGAATAAACGTACCAACAGATAAGGCGACGAAAGGGTCTAGTGTAGTGAATCCCAAACTGTACGCCACGACACCACGAGGAACCGTAGCTATTTTATATGAGCGCCGCAAAATATAATAAAAACTTCAATTTAAGAAAATCTGCAGTGATTTGCAGGCTTATCCACCGCATTAATTATTAAATATTAATCAAATGTAAGTAAAGTAAAAAAAATAATGAAGATACACGAGTCTTATTTATTTTTAGCTCTTACTTACGAATAGTCATACTTACGGTAGGAAAAATTTATTGAAAAAGCGCGCCACAACTAGGAAAAGTTTAGGAACCACTGGTCTAGTGCATAGCTTTTTTCTATTACCTACTCAAGCCAATATGATTATAATATCCTTAGAAAAAGTCACTCTTTTACAATTAGCATGGCAATAGCTGACCTGGGCCACAATTATATTTCCAGTGGGAGATTAAATGTCAGCCAACTGAATCATATTACCGATCTGGCCCGAGGTTTCGGCTCAAATAGAACACTCAACTTCGCCTACTTTAATAAAATCACGTTCAAAAGCGAACTTAAATGGCATCGCCAGGCCTACTCACATCATTGTGGAAAGACTGAATTATCAGGCCCTAAATTAACTCAAAAATTAAAAATAGGCTCGAAAACTACTCACGTAGGAAATAAGTATCGTTTTCGATTTCATTGAAGTTTGCTTAATCGGCAATCACATTATAAAATATAATTTGGGAGAGGCATGGCTTGCGTTGAATGCGACATTTGCTCTGTGACTAACTGGAACCTGTGGCAGTCTATTTGAAGGTTAACGTCACCACCATACTACTAAGTAGTGAATTCCCTTGGGAGTAAAGATAAGACAATGAGACGAGAGTTTATTTGCAGCTCAACCTGGATAGTAAAGTCTAAATGGAATTCAAGAGTATCCTGACAACCTACTCATCCTATTGTGGGAAGACTCAACTATCATTCCTTAAATCGTCTCAAGCGACCTAGGCGGACTATGTTATTATTCAATAATTACTGATAGTCTTAAAAACTACTTCTATCGAAAATAGGTAACTATACTTCATATCTTTCATCCTGGGCCCAATATGATGTGGCTTCGTCCAGCCCGTCTCTTTGACGAGTGCTCCCAAGTCGTGGGATTTCGGTCCGCTCTGCCTGGACTTGCGCGTCTCTTTGGCGAACTAGGCAGCATACGTAGTAGTGTCCATTCGAAGAGGCTGGGACAACGACTTTCAATACGAACCGGTAGCACAACATCAATCCCCGGCATTCGAGGTGAGGCGATGTCTGGCGCCCCAATGAAACGGTCCCAGTCGACAATGGGCACTTGGCGAGGTGGCAAAAAAAATAAGCAGGAAAAAAGAAGTGTTGACGCTGCTGGCGTCAACAATCTCTCACCGTTTGCCGCCGAGTACACGGCAGCAGCCGCTGCATCAGGCTTGGATGTACCCGTCAAGCGGCCAACAACCAGAGGCGAGGCTTTAGCGATGGGCATGTCTTGTCTTCGTGTGGCCATAGATTTGAACGAGCATGCCCTACGATTGGTGCAGAGCAGCCGTCATCTCAAGGATCAGAGTGACCTTCTTGCAATCTTACAAGTCATCCAAACAAAGTATGTTTCCTAATTAGATTTCTCTGATTGCTCTTACACATATTATCCAAAACATCACGTATTGTGTAAATATTTTAGAGTAATACATATTTTTTGTCACTATATTTTCTAGTGCGTTAATGACCTTCTATTAAAAATTCACCTGGCACAGATCAATCATTTATTATTCTCCGTCTTCATTCGTATTTACCACCTGAAATGAACTAGCAAGATGGTATGAAGTGCAACTCGATCGGTTCCTAGAAAAAAATTTATAATTTATAAACTTGGTCAAATTGCACGTAGACACAGTTTTAAGGTTAAAGAATTAAGTGTTTGTTTTACCTCAACCTTGCAGCTTGTTTGGACTAACAAAGAGAATGGGTGTACCTTACTCAGTCCTGCATCATCTATCAGTGTATTCGCGATTATTTCCTGCATCGGACCTTTTATTGGTTTAGTCTTAGTCGTATTCGACATGACTGGGAGTGTACCATATCATGATTGCTATGGAAGAGGACGCACGGTTGGATAAGTTTCATAAGGACGAAAAGAGGTCAAACAAACACTATACAGATTGCTACCGAAACCAAGAAAACACAATTTTGGTCTTCATATCCACGATTCAGGGATTAAGGTCCACTGGATATAAAGCGTGGGAGCGATTTCCAAAACATGTCAGCTCTTTTAAGTTTTTGATGACATTTTACTCTCGTTAAAGGAAATCAGGTCTTTACTACAAGAACCTCTAATCGCATAAATAGTTCTTGTGCGACGAGTTGAATTTTTGCTTAAGATCAGTCTACTTATTCATTTATGTGTATTACCTACTTTTTATGGGACTAGCACATGGTAAATATTCACATGCTGAATATTGAACCTAATCAAAACAAGTAGAAGCAGAGAATTTGTGGGTTGGTACACAAGAGTCTAGAGCATAGGAAGTCATAGCAGCGGGGGCTAGAGCTAGTTGGCTAACAGTAGACGTGTTTCATCTTAGACGAGGTCCATGAAGCAAAGGCTTGACGATGAGACTTACTCGGGCTCTTTAGCCTCAAGCTAATCTCCCATCCAGCTTGAGAATCCTGATTTGTAGGGGCCTAATCAGTGAGGCGTGAGTATGTGTGCTATCAAAGGCTTGAGCAAGTGTGGGAAATAACACTTCGAGTAGTAGAGATTGGGTGGCAGAGGTCGAATGAAATACCTGAACCAGGAGGGCAGCAGGCGGATACTACGGGGTAAGAGGGTGAATCTGATAAGACCTATGGGAAGAGAATTGCGGAGTAAGAGGTTGAGAAATCCAGCGTGAGGTGTGGAGAGTTCACATGAAATCCGCTAAAAAAAGGGCACACCATACCACATTTAAATAAGAAACTGTGATAGTGAGGGGATGATGCTAGGAAATAGGATTGGTGAATAGCCCAGGACAGAAGAGATACCACAACTGTTTAGCAGACAATCAGTCAAAGGATCAGCTTCATTTGTCTCTTTGATTAATTGCAGTATGGTGTTAAGATTAGCAATTCTCACTGACGATGCCGACTACGATGCCAGGGAAACGTCTGGGAAAGTACCACATTCACAGTCCGACTCTGGAAATTATCATACATATTATGAACTCCAGACAAGGTGCGTTCCTCTAGGTCTTCCTACAAATATGACCAAGTTGCGAACACAAGGTCAATCAACTTCAAGACTAAGGGAAATTAATATATCATCTGATTATGGTAAAATTCAAATATCAGGCTTTGAAATTACCTAATGTGACATAAGGTTGCTAAAATCTCATTCAAGCATTAATTATAATCTCTAAAGCGACTTATACCTAACAATAATTCAACATTTTTGTAAGTCTTTAGAATTCTGGACAATTAGTATATCCTAAGAAGCGAAGTTTCTTCGCGCGGGAATTTATGCAGGCCGTAGAGCCATCCTCATCAACAATAGGATGTAGGCCTTGCCTCCCTTGGGCAAGTTTAGTATTGGTCTGTCTAGAGAACACAACGACTGTAGGATCACGGTGCGAATTTCAGGATCAGACAGGCCTCTTTCAACGCTTTAGATGCAGACACTATCGGTAGATCCTGAATAAGATCTGTAATCTCATCTGGTTATGTAAAGCGATAAGGTTCTGACGATTAAATTTCCCATTATTGTAAGTCTGAAATGACATTGATTTCCACTTAGCCTCGCCTCCCAAAATGAATTCTTATCTGGCTTAAAATGATGCTTCATCCACGCCTGCATCTTATCAGAACACCTGATGAGAAACAAACTTTGGTCGTGAGCGTTAATTAGCAAAACTTTTTTACATTATAGAGCCATGGTGGCCGGTGGGTCGCCAAACTCTACATGCAAGCCAGGCCCCTACAATATCACCCTTATAGATCGGTTTGAAATTAGGTTGACTTTTAGTTGCCATTATAATCAAATGGATTACCTATATTACTATTTAGTAGGGTTTCATGCCATCTGCAGGCCAAGGCTTCGATACGGGATTGCGACTT